CTGTCCTTCATCTAATATTCTGCCAATCCTGTTTAGGATGACACGAGTGAAAAGCTTGTAGATTACGGACAGCAGGCAGATTGGGCGATAATTGCCAATATCGTCTGGATCTCCCTTTTTGTACAGCAACACAGCCTTGATAGTTTTCCACGAAAAGGGCACTTTGCATTCCGACAGGTGCCGCGTGAATAGTCTAGCCAGAGTGCTGACGATGGCTGGTGGAAGACTCGCCGTAACAGTTCCGTCAGGACGATGAAGGGAAGTCATCTTGGTCTTATACTTGACGAAGCTCCGTCGGGCTTTGCGAATGGTCTTTCCAGCCTCGGCGGCTTCGTCCATGACTGCTGCTCTTCTCTCTTTCAGATCTTCTTTTATCGCTTCTCTGCATAGCTTCGCAAGTTCGGACGTTAGCTGGTTATTGCCTGCAGCTCGCGCGATTCCACGCTGGCGTATCAGCTCAAGAGTTTTCGAAGAGAGACGTTTTTTGATATCTTCGAGACACGCAGCTCTCCTGTCGCAATCGTGAAGGTGTTCGACGAGCCGGTTGTATTCTTCATCGATGTTGTCGCTGACGGAATCTTCCCACAAACTCGCCAATGAAGCGAAGTGATCCCAATAGACTACAGTCTTGGGGCTTCGTTTCCTGAACTTCGTAACTCTCTCTCCACGCACTGATAAGCGGAGTCTAGCGCGGAGGAGACGATGGTCCGATCCCGTGTAGAACTTCGGAACAACAGCGACGTCAGTCAGCCAAAATCTCCGATTGAAGATAATGTGGTCTGTTTCATTATGGAACTGCCTTCCAGGTGACTCCCATAACCATCGCAGATGAAAAGGCTTTGGAATTGCGAACTAAGATGGATGTTGTGGGTCGACGTGATAAACTCGGGCAGCTTCTCACCCTGCTCATTCCATTCATTCCGTAAGTCTCGATGCAGAGCTCTTCAGCCGTTCTTCTGAGGCCAATCTTGGGGTTAAAATCACAGACGATGACCTTGAAGAAAGCGTGGTCTTCTCTATAAAGCCTTTCCAACTCCATATGAAGCGCCTCCAACTCCTCTTCTTCGTAGCTCGATGTCGGTGCGTAGGCAACGAAGATGGTTAGAGCTGGGGTTGAGCCACATCTGCTTGATCGCAAACGTCCGATTCGGGTTGTTAAGCTTTCGTACGAATCGATGTTCATGGCCACGTACGTATTGACGAGGACACATACGCCTCCGACGCCTCTGCTGTCGTATGTTCCAAGGAACAGCTCTTCTCCAGTCTCAAATACAGCGTGCAGCGGGAGATGCCTTCTCGTCTCGGTCAGTCCGATGAAGTCGTCTTGATCCTCCTAGGTCTTCTATACACGCTTCCGATGCAAGCGCCCGTGCGTTGAAAGTACAGATCGCCATCTTAGTCCATCTCCTTTTGGGCAGCCTGTTTTGGATCTGAGATTTTAGCAGCCTCTACCGAGCGGTCCTACCCAACGCTGCCGTATTGGGGGCTCCCTCAGGTTCAGGGGAATGACGCCCATTTCTATTACTGTTTTTGGCGTGAAGATACCCAACGTGCAGCTTGCCAGGCTATCCCGAAGTTGAAGTGGACGAGAGGCTTTGTTTTTGGAGGCGGCCCCGAATCGTCTCTCAGATACTTCCCAGTCACTCGAATGCAAGCTTTTGACCGAGCCGATGGGCAGGATACCATCTGCACCCATAGACTCTACATACACGTATGCCTACGGATATGCCTTCGAGAGACAGATTGTATATCGACCCAGCACAGTAGAATGAAGAAGTCCATCCCCTGAATCCACCTGTGTCTCTGATCAAGTACCGGTGACTTTTGGTCGACGATTAATTCCCCTATCCGCCACCTGCGGATGCCAAGGTGGCGGATAGGAGAATCAATCGCCGGGGAGACTCGCTACTAACCGGCTATGGATCCTCAGTGAAAGAAAGCTCACAGTGAAGGGAGATCCGTAGACGAGAAAAATAGAGACTGAACATATATGATCGTCATCAGCCTTCATCAGCTGTTATCCCTTTATGCCCTCCATCATGTAAAGGCTATATAGTCACAGTTATAAGCCCATAGTCTTCATTGCCAACCATCCACGATCCCGACGAACCCTACAAACCCTATATCACTCATGAAAGTGCTCAATGGCTCTTGTATTTATAATTCCTTAGGAGCCTCTCCTATCATTTGAGATCAGTCTCTGTTTCAAATCACCTACAATCACTTTACAACCCACACCACATTCGAAAGAGCAGGATTCCACTGTCAGTACGACGTACATAACGAACCTAGTGGCCTAGCCTTCTAAGGATCCCTATTGGTCCATATCAGTTGCTATCATTTTCTATTACCAATCATCTGCGATCCCGTTACAATCCACATCGATGACCAAACTGTTAAGGCTCCAAAATGCAAAATACTATGGCTATTGCGAAGGTTTTTCCATTCGAATTTTCTCTATCGCCCCTTATCATCTGGTACCATTTCACGAACCACCTACGGTTTCTCGGCTCTCCACATCGCCTTCGAAAAAGTCAGTGTTGGGTGTTCTCATTTTGCCCACTGAATCCTCTATTGAATTTGAGCGCTACGTTACTTTATTTTATTACATGCTGTTGGCATGTCATTAACTTAGGTTATTAAAGAGAGAAAAAACGATAAAACAAAAGAAAGTAAAAATTTTATCAGTTGAAGAGAGAACATGATACTATACCATTGAACAGAACGAAGATAATGAGATACCTTGCTTTTAATGAACTGCTCGCCCTTGTTTTGGAGTTAGTCATAGTATAAAAGTTACGACTGTCAAGATCGATACCATTACACAGTATATTATACACCATGAGTATGTCATTCATTCTAAGTCTAACTTGTAAAGGGTCTAGACCGAGGATCATGCTTCTATCGACTCCTTGAGGGATGCTACTGTACGTGAAACTTAATGCTCTGATGAACGATTTCCTAGTAAAGTTGCTCTGGATCTTTTCTAGTTTGCTTAACAGCGTTTTAGTGTGAGGGAAGTAAATGGAAGAACGTATTACAATATAGAACGCACATAGATTTTGTATGCTTTCACAAGCGAAAAGGGATTCTTAGTTCCTGATGACTTGAATAGTAGGAAAACTATTTGACCAGCCTCGGCTCGAATACCTTTCAAGTGCTTCTCAAAAAATAATTACGAGTTGATCATGAATCCCAGATCTTTAACTATATTTTTCTGGGAACAAGACTAATGATTTTCCGGGCAAACTTACCAACCGGCAAACGAACAAACACAAAAACACCCAAACCCACCTACAGATCAACAGACACACTTGGAGATAAAGTAAGATAGAAAAGTGATTCTCTCTCAACTGCAGCAATAGATTGAGCGAGATCTATTGTACTAAGTACCTAAATGAGAATCCTGTTAGGATTTTCTCAAGATAAAACAATTTAGAGATGGTCTTTTAAACGTAACTCCTTCTAACGCTTCATCGCGGCTCTCTGCTATTAACGCCTGCGAAGTTATTAGGGGCGCGCTTGTTGTTAAAAAACCTAGGTAGGGCTGCAGATTACAACGGTTGTTTCTAAAGGTAGAGCCTTGTAATAGACATTTTTCGTTGGTGTTTACATAAAATACCAGAAATTATGATGACGTGTTTGTATCAAAGTCGCACTATTTTATGAGTTGTTGATAAGCTTTGCAATTCGTAGATAAGAGCAGGGCGTGCCTTGGTCGGAGCCCTCTATCCGTGTGTCTCTTCGCAAAATCAATCGTGTGCTCCGATATGATTTGAAGTCTTTCAGTGTCTTTTCTAGTGGTGATGTGACTTTGTGTGATTGCCTTACTGAAATTTTATACGTCCAATTACAGATGGGTGAGAAAAAAGTTTGCTTTTTTCTACTCGTTTCCTGTGCTGTAGTGGTGAGCGGTCACAATCGTTGGGGTGAATTTTGGAAGTATTCTAGCAACGCTTTCGCTACTGGTGAGCTATCGATTCTTCTTACATATGTCTTAAGTTCCAAACTTTCTCTATCGATACAAAGTCATGAACAAATCATAAGCTTATGCTAGGTCAACAACGTTACATACAGTATAGTATGAACACATCCACCAGTATGCCGGGATCCATTTTTCTTACTCCTTTCACCTCATGAATCGCTTCACTTTCACCTTTTCTCACTAATGTATCATGGTGAATGAATATCAGTCTTGATAAACCATTCAAGTAAGCTAATTGAGCCAGGGGGCTTTAAAAACGATTATCGCTGACTGACATTTTTTCATCTGCAAATCGTTACTTTTGTGAAGAGAAATCAAGGATACGATCTTTTAGTATTGAACAATCACGTCAAACGTATGCTCCCGCATTCTAGTTTCATTAGAAAAAGTAGTGTTCCCAAACGCGTATATAGCCTACACAATGACCTGAGGGCTGGGCAAATGATTTTCAAACAGTACGTTCAAGTCTGGTGCCATTTTATCGACCCAGAGGAGTGGAGAATTGGCTAACCAGACAATCATCGGGCAGGGCTTCCATGCTCGGGTGATGCGTGTGATATTGTACACCACTTGCGAATACTTATCTTTGCCCCATTATACTTTACCGAATAGAAGCGCCATACTTGTCAGTGGACTCTATGACGGCGCAAGATTAAAGCTAGGGAGAAGTGGAAGCGCCATATTTGTAGGAATACCCCTAAAAGCACTAGGTAAAAAGGACTTGCTTGCTATTACCACATCTTTGTGTTTCCTCCTCTACAAAAACGCCACAGATAATTTGTCTTAAGCCCATATGAATTTCTTCACTCACGACCATCAGTGTCCCTTTTTTGCCACCTGGAATATTTCTTAAAATATTTTCTTTGGATTAACTGCCTTATTCATTACTGTAGATGATTTCATGTTTTTTCTGAAAGTCATTAGATGCATTTTGAGGCTTACCATGTTTCTTAGTTATCTAAATTGACGAATTTCAATGAGCTAAATATGCATGAACAATACCTGTTGAATTTGAATGGATTGCTTGCTACTACGAAAATGCCCGACCCCTATCATTGGAGCCTTCCGGAATCGTTCAGCTTCCCTAATCGAAGTTTCTTCAGGAAGCGCTTCCTTAAAGTCAATAATCAACACGAGTTTCATATTTTCCGCCTTCTCCTGTAACATTGGCCATTCCACCAGCAAGCCTATAAGTACCGTATTCCCAATAGAGCAGATATTCTCAGAATTCAAACGACTGATCATAGAGAGCAACGTATGTAACATAAGAAAAGGATGCCATTAACATAAATATTGAAAATGGCAGCAGTAGCACAGTGTAACAACATGAAGCTCCCAAAAATTTGGTGCATGCATTCCCAACCCATAGTGGCAGTGGAACGAATTTTCGATCACTGTAGCAAGATATTCACGCAATCGTACAGAATAACATCTCGATCAAATATCCCAGAGCAGCGAAAATTCAGTACGGGCACTCGGCTCTTATAGCAACCCCCTGGCTTGCCCACCCATTGGGCGACCCATGTCAACTTCTTCATCTAATTGCTTTTGAAACCTTTATGAGGCTTTATGAAGCTTCCCTTGTTGTAAAAAACTAGAAACGTGAATATCTGTAGAGCACCACTTACCCTTCATATGAAATATGAAAAGCCAAAAGGCTCAAGCATTACTGAACAAATCTGGAGATCTTGCGCACATCGCTCTGGTTTGTGCCTACGAATCCAAGTAGGGGTAAGAGTCTACGAAATTACGTTCATCTGTGACATGTGTACACCGTTTTTCGTTTACTTCAGCCTGTTCCTTTCAACTGAATACTGAACATCAATCAATCCCATCTGTGGGATGCGCCCCGGCCTCGACTTGCATTCAGAATTGAACAGCCCATAGACTGTGGCCCATAGACTTTCGGTGACGTGCCGAAGTCAAAGTTAAAACTTTTATCCTCACAGACGAGTCTGGAGCAGTGAACCGATCGGGAGGGATGAAAGTTTGGTTAGCCTGAGCGGACATCGATCATGGGATCCGAACTCGGGACCATGCGTGAGGGATGGCCCACACGAAAACTTGTGAATTCCTAGTAAAGCCTTGATATGAAGGGTTCTTAGGTTATGAGGTGCTGAATGGTCCTTCTTTCATCATATATGATCAGTTGCAGCTGTTTTACTTCTCGATGTCTCGAAGAAAAACTGCCTGGATTTCTTAGTGCAAACTAGAGTTTTCGGCAGGGAGTTCACAATTGTGATGACTGGCTTTCCACAGAATGCAGCATAGACACCCCTCTTCCTAAAATCCTACCATCTCAGTTGTGAGTGAACAACTACAGAGGGTCGATAGCATGGCTACAACTGACAAGTTGCTCACTATGAGAGCCATCCATGTAGGTCGGGTACATAGGCCTTCGTTTATCTCATAAACGGCAAATATTCTTCTTTGTCGTCGATGTAATGCAATCAACGATATATTAGGTTGGAAGGAAAGTCCTGCGACAAAAAATTTGAAGCGTCAACAATTTGTATCAACAGTGTGAACACGGTAGCAAGAGTGATAAACTTGTAGGACACTGTAATCAACACATGAGTAAATAAGGGCATGCGTGTGGGCTTGAGCAGCAATGCGGTCAATGAATGGACAAGACCCAATTCGTACCATCAACTTCTTCAAAGCACGCCAAGGGAAAAACGCGGGTGTAGCAGCTCAAATTATCAGCAACCTAATCAATGCTGGCACTGCTCACCGAACAACGGTCAACAATCGGNNCTTCACTGCAGGAGATACTAGCCTTCGGAGTAACGCAAGCATCGTCCCTTAATTTGAAGGAGGTTGAAGGGATCCACCCACTATGAGTTGCTAAACGCAGAATAGATGGACACAGTTATCGGTTACCCTTATGAACCCCGAAATTTGGCCAACGGAGATAGAGAAGGACGATCAAAACCGTAAATCAGGTCCCTACAGAGGGACAGCGCACGTCGAAATCTCGCTTTAAACACGCGTCAAAAGTTCTACGATTCGGATTGGTTCCAGGTTGTTCATCAGTCGTACTCCCCAAGTGTTGCCCCTTTTATCCACCATGCCCTCCGCCTTCCTGAGCATCTCGTTGTAGAAAAAAAAGTCGTAACTCAATGTGATCTGAAAACGGCAGTGAATTACTTCATTGAGTCACAGCTCCCTCACTTCTGGATAAAAGGCACCAGTGATTAACTCAAAGGATAATAGAAGGTCGTTAAACTCTTTGGTAAATATATTTCCGAAAATTGATGGGCTTGGAAAATTTCAGAAATGATTTGAAGAAGACCTTCATTGTGTCGCAGGACTTTCCTTCCGACCTAATAAATCCTTTTCAAGAAATGTTGCTTCAGTGAGCGATCCCATATCAATGGCAACTGCCTTAATGTGTTTCAGGCCCACTTACGTGCGCTCATGATGGTTACGAAAAAAATGATAGATGCATATGCAAACCTCATTTCACTAGATCATCTTGCACTCAGAGGGTATGCATGAATCAAGGAACCCTTCGAAGCCCCTCAATGGATCAAGGTTGCAGATGCCCTCCAGGATTTCTAGGTGCCAGCTGCGAACCAGGTAAAGTATTGACATCGACACCACAACAATATCAATTGATTTTCTGAACACCTTCTATGTTTCAGTTCAATGCGTACCTGGAACCAGTCATTCTTTCTATGAGGAGACAGAAAAACAGTCACTTTATGTACTTGTAACGTACAACAGTTTTATGAACGCCACCATTGTTAAAAACAAAGACGATCCGATTGTAGCGGTGTGTCAGGCCGTGAGAAACTTGACGATTCCGAGCCTCTACTGGAGCATCGATGCACCCTTGGTAAGTGTATTGTATTGAATAAGGGTTTTTGGCTCCTTTATGAATAAGGGTTTTTGGCTCCTTTACTTCTAGTGAAATAATAAATATAGCAAGTTTGTTCCACCGTTTTTGAGTGGAACATAACAAAATCTGCGCGATCTGAAGAACCCTAAAGACGTGTCATTATCAATCTCATATTCATGTACATAAGTATTACGAAGTGTATCGAAATAGTGTTCACTATTCGATTAGTCACGTGTTCCGCAAGTTTTTTATGTTTGAAAACCATGGCTTGATTCTTCTTCCCCTCCTCCTCAGCGCTAATCCCTCCACGAAGTCTCTAACCTGGTGCAATCGTGCCGAAGCACAGGTCCACCTGAGCATTCACATTCCAGTGGAGTGGAGTTGTCTTGCATGATTTTGAATGGGTCAGCACATGCCGCAGCAGAGCGTCGTGATCCTCACCACCGTTCCTTTAGGAATCATTGACCGCATAGGATATAGGTAGACTACGTTCCTTTCATAACCGCTCCAAATCGGGCCTTTAAGTGTGCTCCAGGCCACAGCTTGACCGCTATCATCAGCGCAGACGGTGATTTTCAGTGATGGATCTATGAGCCGTTCTGTGATGTTATCTTTTGATAGCTGATGTTCGGTTTACCCCAGCCGTGACATCTACTACTTTTCCTTAAGTGTGAAGGATCCGTTATATCGTCTTGGAAATATTACTCATATTCTTGATCAGATGGATGAGGTGCTCCGGAAAGTTTTGCTGTCGGGATCCTTTTTTAGAAGGCTAGTCGCTGGAAGCTATCGAAGGGCTTCTTCGGATTGAGAAAGGCTTGCAACAGGTTCTACGCTTCTCTCGATGCTGTATTATCACTTGTTTAACTATAAAGATGACATCCGTTGTAGACACCTGAAGAAGTACATCTCGTAGCTTGCGCACTCGATGGTTCCCTTTTATTGCTGGTAGCGATGTGAAGGAAATTCATCACCCGCATGTTCTTAAGTAACTCTAGCCAGATATTCTAATAACATCTGAGACATGGATGAGCTCCAAGGTTCTTAACCCTGGGCTGACTGGAGGCTTCCATGCTGTTTATAGACACCGCAGAAGTAGGAAAGGAGGTGGGACCTGTCGTTTGGTAACTCTATCTATATAAAAGAGACCAAGGGTCGATTTTGTTCTTGCCTGGGATCTGATTTGCAATGGCCTCTGAACGGTGTTCCATCCGTGCTTACTCTCGGACTAGTGGCAGTCCACCGCCCACCTAGTACTTCCGCTGTTGTGGATATATCCTTTATCAAGCTTTTTTCGGATCACTCCTCCATACGATGTCACACATTGCTCGCTGAAGATTTCAACCTGGTGCTGAGTGAACCATTGTTTCGCAGTGCCAACGATTTCGGAAATTTCGCTTCCGCACATTGCGTTACAGGGGCGACGCAAGTAGCAAGAGACCTTGTCTGATAGATCTTGTTCTGTTCTATTTCATATCGTAAGCAGTTGTTTCACCCCGTTGCCTCTCTAGATTTCTGGCATAACGTTGTGGATTTAAAGATAGCTCGAATGTGTCGTTAAGTTTCTACACCTGACTTCATCAGACTTGATTGCTGATTGTTATATTCGGTCTTTCTGGCTATGGACTGGCGCTTTTTTGTAATAATTATGTATACTCCTACCATTCATTTGTGCTAAAAGTCTTGCCAAAAAAATTCTTTCTCTCTTTTTTTGGATCAGCTTCATATAAAGCGAAATGGTAGTTATTTTACGCATAACCAGAATTCGCTCTCTCTAAAAGTCCGGATTTTCTGCATGCTTACAGTTGTTCTATCAAACATGTTGTGAAAGAAGGTTTGCTCTGACCTTGACAAGCATGTCAAGAAGTTTATCTAGAAACGATATATTCGCCTGCTGGTTAAGGCGAATTTTTTGCATTATTTTCATCTATTTTAGCTGAGATCCAAACTTCATCAAAGTAATCCGTGCTCTAAAATTCCTACGGGTCTCTCTCCATTTTTGGTGGAGAAAAATGGAGTTGTAGAAATCCACTTTGCAAGCGTTTTCCGCGGACAACTCTGAGAATGATGTTCGGAAAAGCGAACACTTCGGGACTAACCACTGCCCGGCGCAGATTTTTTTGATTCTCATAATGTTTTCTGAAACTACGGACTCTTTCCGAATACTTACTCAACTCAGTCTTCCGTAGCTGAATCATATAGTGACGTTCCCTAGGTACTTCTCCATAAGTGCGCTCGTTAAACCATGTGCGCCACCTTCTACAGTTCTATTCTTCTCGAGTAAGTATTTGGAAAGAGTCCGTAGTTCAAGCCAATCACAAGGTCACACCTGGCTGTCATCAACTTGACACCCTCCCCTGACCCCCACCCCCTCCTCGATAGCTTAGGATTCCGATATCTCTATGGTTCCTCCATCAGGTTAGCAACTTCTTGGGGTTGCCTAGTAAGCGACCCGACACCCAGAGTTCCGATGCGGACTAATTTCTTCGGCCGAAACGTTCACTCCTCAGTAACGGCAAGTGTTCTTTCGCAGTAGCTTCATGTACTCTCCAGCGAATTTGGACGGACGGGGGCTATCCCCTTGACCTGCATGTAGATCTTGGCTTCAACACTAGAGCTTCATGGATATTTGTTGTGAGTTGTCCAGCAGTCGATGAGTTGTCCAGCAGTCGGCTTGTCTACGTGGGGTGCTGGTAAAGGTCGCATCTTCCCAATGCATGGTTTGTGCTTCTGCAAGAACCGAACTTTGCGGCTTTGTTAGGTATTGGATGTTGGGATAGGTCTGTGAAATGCGAGAGGAAGCACAAGAGGGAGCTGTAGTGTATTTGTATTTGTATTTGTATCAATTTATTGAGCATTCATGGTGCACTAATGTGCACAGAAAGAAAAACAAAGTCTAAGTCAAGTTAGAGATTTAAGATTTATGTCACATGAAATCAAACACGAAACAAATGCATATGTAAAGTGGTAGACATACGTGAAAAACACAGCGTGACCAGACATACATATTAGGCATGGAACTGAAAAGTTGAACTCGACGGAGCACGATTTTCGAAGTACCTCTGCAAGTTGATGATGTTCTCCAATGATTTGAAAGGAGCTCATATGAATTGCTAGCAACATTCATTTCAATAACTGAACATAGCAGTATGATCAGCCGTCTATGAATCGGTTTTTTCAAAAACACCCTTGCCCCATTGAGGGTCCCTTCAGTTGTGCTATTAGAACTTTATTATTCTACATGTTACTCAGACAATTTTGACGAACACTTTTCAAATTGAAAGAATCAAAGTTGAATTTCAGGTCAACAAGATTCTGACTGGGCAGGATACCACTGTACAGGAGTGCGTGGATGATGCAAAAAGCATGTGTGACCCTCCGTCGTCATGCGATCCCAACACGCTAACAATCGAGAACATCAACTCTATTATTGATCAGTCACAACCGAATTCCCAGGTTTGATCAGTCTATCCCATGTTGAAACAGTCTGAATGAGATAGGAAGTTTGTTCATGGTTGAGTTTAAGATTCTGGTCCATGGTACATTCAAAATTTGCAAGGTAGCTGCCCAGCACTTATTCCGCCTACTGCATAGACTTATTGAATTTTTTCTGACCCGTCAACATCCTTTCGCTGGGCTCATTTCGTTTTATGCTGGGCTGCGCACGAGTTTCTCTCCTTATAGACCTTTCTAACACCATACAGCTAAGGGTATAACGGAAGGGAGAGAGGGGTGGAAGGTTAGGATCGGGTGGGAGAAGAAGTTACCATTTTCATCAAAAATCAACACCTACAAGAATAGAAATACGCTTTCATTCCGCGCTTAAATGTTGAGCTTACTTGCAAAAACAAAATTCGCATAGAAGGGATGCTAAAACAAGCTGTTCAAATGTGTGCGTCACTGCAAACAGCTGACTTCGGTAAGCTGTCTGCGTGCAACGTGTGGGTCCCGATGCGAATAGTGCTACCCATTTACCTTTTACAATGCCATGGAAGTCGTCTTGTCCGCCACGTGGGTGTACGTCGACTACGCTGATTTTGAAGCCCTTACTATGCCCCATCTTGACCGTTTTTCGACCCGACAGTGTCCCTTGCGCTATCCTCAGGGTTACAGATTCATCTCAGGGGAAACATCAGGAATCACTTCTATCGTAAACTGCGCCTTTAATCTTGTCAATCTTGTCCACATCGATCAGTTCTGGAAGACGCACCATATTCTAAAATCAAAATTCAGTTTGTTGATTTACAACGCTTCGCAGCCACTTATAACATTATGGAGGGCTGCATGGATACGGCTTAACTCAGCTAGACCTCTCAAAAAAGTTTTCGTCCAAAATTATCACCTGGTGGTGCTTTCCAAGGACATTCTCCACTAAATTCCAGTTTGACTACATGAAGAGTCTCAGATGTTCTTGGGGAGCCTAAACTAAGATTTTGCGACTTCACTCGGCTAACATTCCGGCCTTGTCCCTTCAATGAGGTCTGTAAGCCATTAAAATTATAAGTTAATCCTCACCAAACGGGCACTCCAGACACCAGCTCTGTTCCAGCCCAGTCTGTGGATACCTTATAGAAGAAGCATGTACGCCACCTTACACATGCGTATGGTGGAGCTCCCGTAAACAATCTTTTAAACTCATTCAAACGTTTCTGGGTAGGTGCGAAAAGAAGAGGAATGGGAACGATGAGTGCCTGGCTTTTAGTCCTAGGTTGTGGTCAAGTCATTTGCGGGGGTGCGCAGCTTGAAAGGCGATTGACAGATGATCTGCCGCACATGTAAGGTGTGCTACCTGTCGTATTTACAAGTCCTATCTAGGTTTTGTACTAAGCCAAGGTCTGAAATGTCCTTTGATGAGAATGGATCATAAACATCCTTTGGTTCCAAGCCCTGGAGCGACAAGGCCGAAGCCAGCAGTCGAATGAAAGTAGTGTCATATTGGCAAAGTTCCACAAGAACATCTAAGACATCGACATTTCATGCGCAGGATTACGGGAGTCGAACATGGTCCATGAAGAGTGTTCATGCTCATGAATAATCTGTAGAGGATTTCAGAAGTAGAGATATCCCATACTTCAAGATTTCGATGTTTTTCTAAGAACTTCCCAGGATTTCGTTTTAATCATATTCACTCTTTCAGGTACTCATTATTACCAATTCCGCTCTGAACCAGACTCTAAGTGCCGACGAAACCATCAAAAAAGCCATTGCTCGCCGAATAAAGGTACTGTTATTGATTGAATTGCTCGGAACAATGAAAAAAAATAATTTTTAAAAATTCTGCCCATTTGATCACATATGTGCATCGCCCAGCTTCTTCAAAAGAAGGAGCATTGGCGAAATTATTCTGCCCGAATGGTTAAGCTCCCATATTTCTAGCAATGAGATCCATTCTTGTGGGGTACTAGCATATACCGGTTCGAAACGCTGATTTGTACACCCAAGGACACAGGTCTTTAGTGAGGACATCCAATGTGAGCACGAAGAGAGTACAGATTCCGGCCTGATTTTAGGTGTACCTCTACCGTGACGTCTATGGCATTTGTTTGGCCTTAAGGGATTGTTTAATCGTCTCCAGCCGATTCAACTCGATCAGGGAGATAAGGTGTTCTAGGGCGTTACTTTCTTGGAGAAATCTACAGACCACTACTGCGTCAGCAATTCAAGAAGGCTAGGTAGTAGGACCTACGATATCCTAGATATTTCTCCATAATTACTCTAGTTGTGAACATGGAATGGGATCACTGTGTTATTAAAATTATTTCCTTGACAACGTGAAACGCCTCTTGTCCTTATTGAAGTTGTTATACTACTTATTTCTTACTTAACCTTTTCAATCTTTGACTATACTACCTATTACTTACCTAACTTTGTCAATAATGAACCTCGCGCAATGACAAAACCACGTAACTGGGGAGGTCTCTCTGAAGCCACGACCAAGATAATACAATGTTTTAATCGGCTTGTCGATTTGTTCATCTGATATTTCAGGTACACGTGATCGCTTTTGCCCCTGAGAAGACGATTACCGATAGAGATTTTAATAATCTCCCTGGCTATGCTGTTCTCCGTAGCATTGCAGATGCCACTTTTGGATTCTTCATAACACCGTACTCCGGGATCGCGAACACACTGATGAGCACCACAACAGCTTCGCAGGTAATATGTCGATTCTAAACCCTGTGCATACTGAAACACTGCTGAATGTCACTGACAGTTGCATCAATAGATATGGATATCTATCGTGACGGGCGACCAAATGGTTCCGATCCAAGTCCGTTACGCTATAAAATGTGATTTAGGCTTGGGTACCTTCGATTACTCCTACCTGACAACTTGATTTTTGTTTTTTTTTTGCGTTCCTGAGTTCTAGGAAGACCATTACAATTTGAGCATGGAGTGAATTCGATTAAGTTCATTTACAAACGCTCAGACTGAGTGGGCTATACAGATTCTGTTAACAACCTAAAGCATTATCAAGAACAGAACACTTTGCACCTTTACTCTTTCGCCTGTCGCCACTTACTGGTTGACTGCTCACATTTCTGCCGGGATTAAGTGAAATAATTAGGCTTCAACAAATGGGGAATTTCGTTCGAGATAAAAGAAAAATGAAAGTCATCTCATGAGAACGTGAGAAACGAATTCTATTTTTCGACTTTTGAAGTTTGAAAATCAGTAGAAATGAATCAATAGAAAAATCATAACAATGTGAAATGTCTCCACCAACGAGCCCTCACGCAAATTCCGAATCATTGCAGAAATGTTTCCAAATCTGTCACTGGTAGAGCTACATACCTTTTAGAGCTGTTGATGTTACAATGACATGATTTTTGCTTCGCACATATCTCCTTGCTAATTCATAATGAATGATAACCTGATAATTTGATTCGTAGTTTTGTGATTTTCGATTTGTAGAATCAATATTAGCTCAACTGAGTCTGAGAGGTCAGCAGTCAACCAATAAAGCAAAGTCCCACCACAGACGATCGAGCCGAGGTGCGAACTGGCCTGAATTGAAACTCATGTCCCTTTCACTCGAGTCTCGATTCCTTAGTGACACGATGATACTTCACTATACATACTATTCAATAGTGGTCATCAATCTTCCAGCAAGCACAAACACCACCTCCTTCGGCTTCTAGGGCAATTTACAGAACCTAAAGGCTCAGTTCACGGTAATTTTGAGGTACCCGTTTCTATTCGAAAAGCGGAAGTAAAGACTGGGAATAGTTCATCGGTAGTGAAGAAAGCGAAAGAATTCGCTGATTTGGAAGTAAATATGGCTGCTCAAAAGTAGGGAAAATGGGGGTTGGACGAGACTGTCATAACGGAAATAACATGGAAGGGGTATTGGGACGAGGTTTCAGTGTTTGCAATTGCACAAAGAGCTGACTACATCAAGCAAGAACTGTACAGAACTGTCTATCACTGTCGCTATGGGTGCTGACAAGTTGTTTAAACTTCCTACATCGACTCCCTTGTGATCGGTGCAGCCTCCACAATGCCGGTGAAACTCGTCCGAGGACACACACTGGCCAATCTTTGCGCCTTCGAAACTCCCTAACCAGGCCGGGGGCCCTCAAATCCATCCCGTGGGGGAACCTCAGAAACCATTTCTATCGTGAACTGTGCCTTTACCTTCTCAGAATTTTTCAAATTCAATTGAACAGCCAATACTCTTTATTCACTGAAAAGACCCGATATCTATCCCACTAAACTCGATAGTTCCAGCACCATAATCTTACCGATCAGTGGGATTTATCTCCTGCAAATTCAGGCAATCTCCCAGATAATAAATTTCATCTCAAACAACTACGCACCTGTGGCAGTAAGACCAGCGAAAACAGTTCAGCAATTCCACTACACTGTTGACAGGAGAAACAAGTTCTATATAGCGTTCAGATCACTGGGAATCGAACGTTAGTCCATTTTGTTATCACGCACTCCAATTAGCCTTAAGGTGGTAGGTCAAACTTACCCAAAGCTAATTATTTCTATTTAAGCCGAAGATATTACATTCACAACGCAACCGACAGGACTCACCTTGGAGCAAGACACCGGTTTCTGGAAGTTATACAGGTGTGGTACATTTAATGTGCAGTAAAATCACCTTCATCTTTTAATAATCGGTATATCGTAGATGAACCTCTCTCGCAAAGAGCTATTGGACGGGCAGTCGAATCGATTTTTTGTAAACGATCCACCGCACGCGGCAGTCGCAGACTAGTTGCCCCGTTATTGTTTTTCTAGCGTTCCTCATACATTTCTATTGATATGCCATTATTATTTTTAGCATGATTCTGCCGCTACCTCTTTTGTTCCTGTATTCCTTACTCGCTGCGCTGCTTCTGCTCATTCTGCTACATTACTTCGTGCTATTGACGTGAAGTATCTCGACTCAATTGCGCCACAAACAACAAGAGTTTCTAAGCAGTACATTTGGTCTTTTGAACAAGAAGAACATTTCCGAATTTATCGACATTGAAAAATTATTGTCCCAGATGGGGTCTGAAACAAACATTATTTTCGGCTTGGCGTCCTTGTACCACGTTTGTTCGCAAGGCGACCGTGAGCCCAGTATTGGGAAAGGTTTCAGTCAACTATATGTCCCTCCCAACCCTTCCCCCCCCCTCCTCCTCCCCCTCTCCC